ACATATGGATCATGCAATGTTTTTAGATTATCACGACCCAAATAACTCAAAGATGACCTATTTAACTCAATAAACTCAACCAAACCTACATAGCCCAAACCAAAATAGTGATTGAGTTAACTTAGGTTAATTAGAGGTCAACATGAACTTGACCCAAATAATAATTGGACAACCTTTTTGACCCTAAGCTAACCAAAATAATAGCCACGTCAACCTGAACCCATTGAGTCGAGTCATCTATTGACAACCCTGTATGATTTATATCTATACTCTTTTAAAATTTATATAATAATCTTATTAATATAATTAGCCATTTAACATCATACCAAATTTGATTCAACTTCAAAAACCTCTTTTTATTAATACAATTATCTATTTTATTGCATCAATTTTAAACTACCTTTAAAGTTCTCTCGTCTAAACAAACTACCTTGGAATTTTAATTTCCCACCTTATAAATATACAATACTATTTTAAAACAATGATTCCTTTTATTGGGGAATAATGAGAGATAAATCACAGTATATGACTCAAATCAGGACTTGGACAAACAATGATTTTTTTAATTAGATTTTCTACTATTAATATATACATTAACTATTACTCAAGGTTATGTGCTCAAACATTTTTTTGGAACCACCTTACAATCTTCAAAAAACATTTTAATTTCCTTCTAATAAATGAATATTATGATTTAAAAACTCTTGTTTTGAAACTAAGCATGCCCTCTTTTTTATTTAAGTTTTCGCTATTGCAAACCATGACGAAATAAAGAATAACTTCTCTTACAATTTAACATCACTTATTATATGAGTGTGTCTATCTCAATCCACACACACACCAAAAAAAGGAAAAAACACCAAAAAAAATTCATTACGAAATCTTATATTAATTTTAAACATGATAACAACTTGGCCATTTTCACTTAGTTGACTTTAGTTTTGATGCATCAATTGTCAATAATCAACCTTGTCATTCTCATCATAAATAAGCAAAGTTATGGCGTACAGTTATAGGTGATACCCTTATCCACTTTAATAAAGTTATAGTTCATAAGCTTTGCTTATTTGGAGTATGCCAACACTGAAAAATCAAATTATGTTTTATTTTAAGCATTTTGACAAAGAATCAATGACCAAACTAACAATAAACTTCAAATCATCTTATTGTGCTTGGGATTAATAACGATGATTAAAAAAAACAACAAAACTATGAAAATGCTATATTGGAGAAATGATAGATGTGTGATACCGATGAATGGATAAGTGAGCAAAAAATTGGAGGATGATGGTGCTTGTTTTAAGAACATGGGCAATATTAAGAAGGTATATGATACGCATCGAAGTCAAAATCAACAAATAAATTGCAGACAATTAGAGGGTAAAACCATATTAGAGCTAATTTTACTAATATTCAAGCAAACAAATAAGATAAAGAAAGTGAACTATAATTCGAGAGGAAGATCGACCCTCCACAAATCCTAGACTTCGCAAGAAACACAATAAAAGAGAAAACTACAGGAATCCAAAACATAAAAAATAAACCTTAGGTTATTAGCCCAAATATAACACCCAACCCTGAAAAATCAAATTATGTTTTATTTTAAGCATTTTGACAAAGAATCAATGACCAAACTAACAATAAACTTCAAATCATCTTATTGTGCTTGGGATTAATAACGATGATTAAAAAAAACAACAAAACTATGAAAATGCTATATTGGAGAAATGATAGATGTGTGATACCGATGAATGGATAAGTGAGCAAAAAATTGGAGGATGATGGTGCTTGTTTTAAGAACATGGGCAATATTAAGAAGGTATATGATACGCATCGAAGTCAAAATCAACAAATAAATTGCAGACAATTAGAGGGTAAAACTCCATAATTTCTTCTCCTGGTATACGTGATTAGAGCCCTGGTGGGCCCCACCCAGGCACTGGAATCTTCCCAGCCGGAAAGGCTTTCTGCCACTTCTTGCTGACCTGATTGGTTGGTTGTTGATTAGGGTGGGTCAGTCAACTGAGTCCAGAACGACACCTCGTGGATCAATGGCATAACAATATTTCCCTCCCAAAGGAACACCTTGTCCTCAAGGTGGAATGATGAAAACTGTTTTCGTATCATTTCATAAGGCTCCCACATTGCTCATACTATGACAGATCTTTCCACTCAAGCACCTCCTTTGCTTTTCTCACTCTTCGATGCACCAATCTACCTCCAAGGTTTCAAAGCCACCTCCATGTCTTCCGTGAGCGTCAGAAGTAGTGAAGACGATTGGTGTGGTCTCCAATAGCATGTGTCAACTGTAAAACATTAAACATTAGATACAATGATGATGACGATGGTAGCCTCAAATGATATGTCATGGTCTCAATGCATGCCACAAACTCATAGGGTCCAAATGATGTGTGGAGAGCTCTCTTCTACTCCAGGCCAATGTCTTTTATCATTAAGATCTTAGCTTCAAATAAATCACGTCCGGGCTCAAAATGTACCTTCTTCCTATGTTCACAAGTCTTTTCACCCTCAGTAGATATCCTTTGAGTTCTACAATATTATGTCCCTCTATTCCAAGTACTGATCCACATTGGACTGGTGTCAGACTATGCTCATAATGTATCAAGTGAGGTAGATCATGTTTTACAAAACCCTGAAAGGAGTGATCCATGTTACAGTATGGTATGAAGTATTGTACCACTACTCAGCATAAGCAATCCACCTTGCCCGCAGCTTCTACGTATTTGATACAAAACAGCACAAGCATGTCTCCACACTCGTGTAGACGACCTCTGCCTGGCCATTTATTTGGGGATGATATGTTCTAGTCCTTTTTAGTATTGTCCCTTGTAATCTAAACAGTTCCTTCCAGAAATATTTGAGGACCACCTTGTCCCTATTTAATGCAATAGATTCAGGAACACCATGCAAACAAGCAACTTCCCATATGATCACAGTAGTGACTGAGATAGTCTTTGGTGCTCCTACGTGTAATGTGCAAATGAGCACTTCTTCATGTTGGCATACAATTGATGCTTTCTCAACGTCTCCAATATTGCCCTCAAGTGTACCATATGCTCCATCTCCGTATGACTGTAGATCATAATGTTATAAAAAAATATACCAGGACTAATATCCTGAGATAATGCTGGAAAACCCTGTACATGAGATAAGAAAATGTGGTCGAAGTGTTAGTAAGGTCAACCCGTAATGTCTTTCATGAGTCATGAATGCTTGTCTTGTGCATCAATTGAGTTCATCCGGATCTCATGGATCCCGACTTCATATCGATCTTTGAGCAGAAGAATGCTCCAAAAAGTTCGTTTAATAGCTCGTTAAACACCGGAATGGGAAACTTCTCTGGTACAATTTCCTTGTTCAACGCTTTATAGTCCCCACAGAATCTGTAGCTACCATTTTTTTCTTCACCAATAGAACTGAAACAAACAAAGGGCTCACAATGAGCATGATAATCCCTGCTTCGAGCAACTCACTAATCATCCCTGCTTCGAGCATCCCCCTGATTAATCTCACTATCTCATCATTCTGAACCTGAAGATATTGGTATAGTATGACACTGATAAGAAAAAAACCCTCCTTCAATGCAATGATATCCTCGTGCTCCCTCAATGTCGGTAACCCTCTGCGATGTTGAAAGATGTTGGAAAATTCACGCAGAAGTTGTTGAACACCCTCGGGAAGCTGTTGACCCGGGATCCTGGATCTCCTCTATACTCTACAACTTCACCAAATAGTCCCACCCTCCTACCCTCCACCCGAATCTCCATCATCGATGATTTCCAATCCACCTTTGTCTCTCCAATCATCTGTAGCTACTTCATTCCCAGAAATACGTCGATGCTTCCCAAATCAAAGAGAATGAAATCCTCTACCGCCTATAGGTCGTGTAGTATCAACGCCAATCCCCTGCAAATTCCTCGGCTTTTCTCCACCTTCTCTTTCCCCATCATGACCTCAAAGCTTCCTATATCTACCAGCTTCAACCCCAACTTGTCGACGATTCAATTTGAGACGAAATAGTGAGTGGTCCCACTTCCACCACTACCGGCTGCTCCCCGAACAAACCCTTCATCTTCCCGATGTAATTAAATGCTTCTGCTACATTCAAGTGTAAGTGTTCCTTTCCCTCCACCATTTCCTCCTCCGACTCCGCTATCTGCCTCCACCCTATGACAAACTAAAAGGACCTGAAGTGTGTGATCCTTGCATCGGTGGCTGAGAGCATACTTCTCATCACATTGGAAACATAATCTTTTTATCCTCTTGCTCTGCACCTCTGTCTCTGTGAGGCGCTTAAATTTGACCCCAAGAACCCGTATTCCTCTCCTTCAGCGTCTCCTTTTGAAATGACGTCGTTTGGGTCCTTGTTGTTATGGTCGTCAAGATACACTTGTGGAATCCTCCTGTGGTGACACTTTTGTTGGTTATCTTCATCTGGTTCTCGTCCTCATCATCTAGTTCTTGCCTTCCACCATATGGGTGAGCTCCATCGTCTCCCTCAATCTCCGTAGTCTCAATAATCAGAGTATTGCCCAAATGTCAGGCTTTAGGCCCTTCATAAAGTTCCCCTTCAATTCTGATTCAAAAATTCCCAATTGTCCGATAATAGCTTGAATCTCTACCAATATTCCATGACAGTGCCCTCTTGAGTCAAGACATAGAATTGTTCATATAGGTCTCCTTCTCGAATATCTCAGAAACGTTCCAACACACAATCTTTAAATTTCTCCCACGAACAGTCAGATATCTAGCCTCCCTTCACTAAAACCATGCTAGGGTTCTACTCTCAAAACATAACCCTAGCACCATGAGCTTCTCCACCCCATTTATCCCATTCACCACAAAGGAAACATATAAACTAACAAAGATATAGAAGAAACATTAAAATATGCAAGGTATAGACAGAAAATTTGCACTGAATGTATAAGTGGTAAGAAACTAGTCAAAAAATAAGTAAAACATACTGAAAATTGCAATACCTCACGCCACCTAATTCAGTGCATGAACTTAAGATTGTTTGATCACTATGCAACCATGCTACAGTTCTGATGGGACCAGGTGATTTATCAATTTCCCTTGGTGGAGCATCTGGCCGATTCAAATCAAATAAACGTAAAATCTTTTCAAAACCACCAGTTAGAAGCATTTGGGTATCCTGCAACCATGAGAAAAAATGATGCTAGGACAAGTAATAAAAGAGATCATGAAAGAGGAACCGTCAACATTGTTCTCCAGAAAAAAAGATTAAACAAAAATACAATATCAAAGTAAAGCTTGAACTCAAAAGAAATGTCAAGATAACATCAATTTAGGCCCGTAATTTAATAAAAGAAATAAAGTTATTGGAGTTATGAAAATGTAACATGGAGGGCCCAAGTTGAACCTAAAATGCAAGTGAAGAAAATACCTAGAGAGCCAAAAGCTTAACTAGCAAGGGCCATAATTAACATATTATAAACTCAATTACCGTTTCACTTAAGATGTGGGACAATTCTCCATTTTCATATGCATTTAAACAACTTCTTCCTCATATGAAGCAAGATTAATCCTCAAATAAAAGTTTTTAAAAACATCAAATGTTAAATACCAAGAAGTCAATTAACCATATGGAGCCCGCTATCTAGCCTTCTTGACCATACAGAAAGTGCCAAAATTCACAGAAGCTAAATGCAACTTATGATCATATTATCATTCATCAGTTCTAATAGCACATCTTAAAAGGATTAGATAACAGTAGTTTGAGTTAAGCCCAAAACACTCATGAATGAACATTGATTAAACCAAAAGCATAAGCAAATGCATAAATGCAACCAACAGTATATTAGGAACTCAAGTTTTATTTCACTTCAGATGTAAGATTATTTTTCCCTCCCCTTTGCATTAAAAAATTGATCTCGAGCAGCATTTTTCGTGAAGGAAAAAAAATGCTCCGCATGTCTCCTAAACAAAGAAAACTTGCATTGAAGGCAGGCCGAAAAAATCCCAAAGAGCTATCATTTCTTTAAGGCTACTTGTATGGAATCTAAATGAAAATTTCAGAAGAACATGATCTCCATTTTCGCATTGTAATGGTTTTTGAACTTTTGAGATAAGTAGCATGCCTCTATTTATTTCACGCTTCCACATGAGCATTGACAACAAAACATGCATACCCATGGCAAAGGGCACCCAAAAGTTCAAGGTTAAGGGAGGAGTTGATGAATGGAGTGCCTATCCTTTCAATTTGCAAAGGAGTTGTTTTCACGACTCAAAGACGAGACCCTAGAGTACAGTCGAGGCAATGCTCCAATCGCTTGCATGAAAAATAACTGCTTTCTTGCTATTTCGGAATTAAAAAACATGGGAGGCTTGGATCTATTAATGAATCAGATGCACAGAATCTTTTAACCAACCACACAATGAGATTTATACTTCAATATTTGTGAAAAGAATGTTCTGAACTTAACGGTATAAAAGAATCGGAAACAAGGATTGGCAGACTTCTTAGCAGAAAGAAGAAAAACACAGGACAAATATAACAACAACGAAAAGAGCAAAATGAATAGTAGAATACATATTAAACCCAGTAAAAACAATAGCCAGTATGTACCTCAGAAAAGGCACATGCACGAACAATGTGTTTGTGTTCAAAAGAATGCAATTCATCACCAGTTAGAGCATCCCAGACTTTCCTGAAATAATTGGAACCAACTTATGATCATTCAAATTTATTAAAAAACTACAAAATGCAATGGACGTAAAACATTTTCAAGTTTAAAAAAGTAATACTCGGCAATTAAGCAGCTATAATGTCTCAATAAATTAGAACTAATCATCTTAAAAGATAATAAATCTACAAAATGCAAAGAAATGATCAAGTGTTCATGTAAAAAGTTGAAAAATATTGCTGTTCCAAATCAAATGAAGAGAAGTGCTTGAAGTAAGAATCTTCATACGCTGAAAAATCAGCAGAAGCTGAAGCAGCACGCAAGGCATTAATGTCAAGGCAACAGCACCAAACCGCACCCTTATGCCCTTCAAATGTTCCTATCCAATCTCCAGTCTCTCCATTTCTCAGCATGGGACTTGAATCTAAGGTAAGAAAATAAAATGAATTGGATTCATTTAAAAAAACATGGACAGAACAAGAAAATCAAGGGGAAAACATCCTTTAAGAGTATTATAACAAACATAGATAGCATATCTGCATTAGTTTACAATATAATTTTTTGTAGGGTGCAAAGCGGGACTTCATGCAAACTTTCCCAAGCATGAACAGTAACTTCATAGACTTTCCCAAAGACAATATGCACACATTAAATAAATCTGACGACACTAGCAGAACTTCAGAGATTCTGCAAGCCAACAAGTGGATAATTGAACAATCATTAACCATTAATCAGAATTCAAAACATAATGAGAACTGAAATGGTACAACTTCAAATTCCAAAGTACTTGGAACAGATAACAGCAGGGAACATTGTTTAAAGGACCACTTTCTATTATGTCACAAAAACCCATACTACAACAGGGGAAATGCTATGCTGACCAACGCAAAACCCAAAAAAAAAAGCTAGCAAAAAGAGTAAAAATAGAGAAAAACTTTAATGCCCTCATGTGACTGTATATCACACCAAATCCCTATGCCAAATAAGCATGACAACTCATTAAAGCTTTTTTGGCCTATGGGTTGGACAGTATAACGTTACACTCTAAACAAAAGGCTGTATAAGGGTAGGAGTCGAAATTATCCTACACAAAAAGAAGGAAGCAAGGCTCTTAATTTTCCAAGTTATAAAACAGCAGTTATAAAAGGCCATAATACATGAAGCATTTTTAATGTATAGAAATAATTCAAATCAATAATGATTTGGATTAGTCTTTTTGTATTCTTCTTTGGAATTTAAGACAGTATAAAAAATAAAATTCAATTTATAATATAAACCTCATAAAAAGACTAATTCAAATTGCTATATCTACAAGAGCTAGCATTTACAAAGATAGTTAAAACTCAAATAATGAAAACACGAATAGCATCACAAATCATGAAATGTGTTTGGCAAAACGAAAGATTAGAATCCCAAAATACTTCCCAGACTATTCATGCCTGGTCAATTTAGTCCTGAAGTACACAATTCTAATTTTACAAAAATTGATCCAAAATAATCCCTCATGTAGAATTGCAAAACAAAATTTACCCTTGCTTAGTAATCCCTCATGTAGAATTGCAAAACAAAATACTGCCGTTGCCGGTCCCAAGCCCGGATGAGTCCTTTGACCATACAAAACTGATCCCAATTTAGCCACTAAGAGACCATTATTTATCAATATTGTATAATCAAGGGACTAGAATGTGATATTGTGGAATTATTAAATTGGCTGCATACAAAAAATCAGGAGATTACTTTAGAGTTTAATCTGCAAAACACATATATTAAGTGCAAAATTATTTATCACACTAAGAAAAAACAAGAACTAGAAAAAATTTAAAAATAAGGTAAATAGAAATATGCTTTACTAAGTAACAAAAAAGGAAAAAAAGATTGAAAAAATTAGTTCACAAAGCTCGAAAGAAACAATGAAATGGTTAAATTTAAACCTAATGAGAAAACTTGAAATAATTTGCTTATTAACCATTTAACATAAATTGCACACTCAATGTTAAACAAAAACACAAAAAAGGAAAAACAAATTACATTGTAAACTTTATAGAATAAAAAATTCATTCAATTAACAAATCCTTTAGGTAAATAACTAGACTGTTGAAGCACTCTATGAAACTCATGTTCTTTAAAATCATTGCATGGAATGGCCAAAAGCACTCTTATGGTGTTTTTCCTTCCCTACCTGTCTGAGCAAATATGAAAATGCATTAATAAGCTCAACATGTATATACATATCATTTCAATAGAAAACTTGACAAAAATAATAGTAATGAGAGTTCTTGTCGTAGAAGTTGTCAATCT